ACAAGCTCCTCCACTTCGGGGCGGACGCTTCGGCGTCGCCGGCGGGCGCCCGCGCCGGGGCGCGGCCGTGACGCGCCGCGACTCGCGCGCGCAGGTGACGCCGCGGGCCGCCGGCCGCTTCGGCCTCGCCAGGGCGGGCGGCGCGGCGATCTCGCAGCGCGACGTCGCTGCGCTGCTCCGGGCAGCGAAGGCCGCGTTCCTCGCGGAGCCCGCGCCCGCGCGGGAATCGGCCCGGAGTTTCGACACCTCGAGCGCGCGCGCGCCGCCCTCGGCGCCGCGCGCGATCGCCGCGGCGCCGCGTCGAGCGCGCCGACGCGCGCGCAGGCCCATGCTCCTCGAGATCGCCGCGCCCGCGGCGGCCGGGGCCGCGCGAGGGTGATTCCGGCCCGCGCGCGATCGCTCCGGAGCGAGGGGCCCGCGCGTCGAGCGCGCGTCGAGCGATGGTCGCTCTCGTCTGAAGCCGGCCCGCGTCGCGCGGACGCCGGCCGGGGCGGGAGCCTCCGACGTCGCCGCGCGCCCCAGGTGAAGCTTGTCGGCGACATCCACGGCCAGTACGCGGACCTGCTCCGCGTCTTCGACGAGTGCGGCGGCCCCGGCCTGCGCGGAAATCGACGACTGGGTCGGGGGGTCCCGACCAAACTTCAAAACTCTCGAGCTCGGTCAAATCGAAGTCGTTTTGGACGATTTGTGAACGAGTCTTTCTCTCGTCGAGTTCTCCACGGAGAGCGCCGGGAGCTGCGTCGAAACGGTCGCATACGCGTTGAAGTCATGTCGAAGATTTGGTTTTGGCGCAGGCCCCGGCGACGTCCGCTACCTCTTCCTCGGCGACTACGTTGACCGTGGCGCGCACGGGCTCGAGTGCGCGCTGCTCCTCCTCTGCTCCACACTGTGTGGAACCCACATCTTCCATCCGACTTTCATGCGCGCGTATGGAACCGTTTCGACGCGACCGTTTTTGTGCTCCGCGGAGAGCTCGACGAGAGACGCGCGCTCGTCCGAAACTTGGCCGAATCGACTTCGACGCGACCGAGACGGAGCGTTCTCGAGTTTGGTCAGGACCCCCCAAACCAGTGGTTGGCACCCACACAGGCTACAAGGCGGCGGCCGGCGCGGGCGCGCCGGGGCCGCGCTCCCCGGGGTCGGGGGGGGGCGACGACCCGCGCCGCGATCAGGTGAAGCACGGCGGCGCGTTCTGGCTCCTCCGCGGGAACCGCGAGCGGAAACGACATCTTCGACCCGACTTCAATGTGGGCGTGCTCGACCGTTGTGACACGAGTTCTTCGGCCGTGCTTCGAGAACTCGACGAGAGCGATTGAGTGGTTCAACAATCAGCCGATTCGATTTCGACGCGCCCGGGCTCGAGAATTGTGAAGTTTGGTCGGGACGTCCCAAACCGGCGGTCGATTTCCCCACAGGCGGGACCCATGAGTGCGCGGCGATCAACCGCATCTACGGCTTCTGCGACGAGTGCAAGCGCGCCTACGCCCTGAAGGTCTGGAAGCAGTTCAACGACGTCTTCAACTGCATGCCCGTCGCCGCCGTCGCCGCGGGCGCCGACGCGCGGGCGCCCCCCCCTGGGGGGGGGGGGGCGCGCGCGCGCGCCCGAGCCCGCGCGCAGGTCGTCGACGCGAAGATCTTCTGCGTCCGCGGCTGTGTGGAATTCGACCACTGGTTCAGGGGGTCCTGACCAAACTTCGGAAATCTCTCGCTCGGTCGAATGAAGTCGAGTCGGCTC